TGTTCATATCAATATTTTGAAAATTTGATTCTTCTATTTTATTTAAATCCTTTTCTATTAATTTAATTCATTTGCTTACTATTTTGAATTGATTTCTTTGCGAATCTAATGGAAAAATCTCTTGCTTTAATTTTGAAAGATTCCCACTTATCTATCGGGTTTCCTGTTGCTCCTGTAACTCACTTATTATATTTTTAATTCCTTTTTTGTATTCTATATCAGTTAAATGAGAATTGTTTAATTTCCAGTACCCACTCTCTCGTTTTTTTTCTCATCTAATTTAAATGACATATTTAATACCCTATGGTCAAACATTCTTTTTCTGAGATTTTTTCAAGGAATTTTACGTATAATTATGTTGTTTAAGTCCAAGACAAAAATTTTTGCTTAAATATATATAATCTATTCTACTGCTAGGATTATTTTCTGAATTCCACCATGTATATCCATCTAAGGTTGGATATTTAGTTTTCCATCTATCTATTAAATCAAACGTGTTTAGTATTTTTTTTTTCAGCTTTTGAATACTTTGATCGTTATCATTATCAATTTTACAATTGAAATCGCCACATAAAATAATATTATCATCATCTGGTGTACATTTTTTATGTATAAAACAATACAATGTTTGAAAAAATAAACCTCTTTTCTTTGCGGAGTTTGGTGCATAAATATATATAAATGAATAGAATATTTCATTTATTTTTACTTTTAAAAATAATCTAGCGTCATGAGATACATATTTCTCAACTATTTCTGTATTCAACTCTTTCTTAAATAAAATACTGACACCTCGGATAAATGATGAATCAAAATAACAATGAAATGATTTTCCAAACATCTTGAGTCATATTTGATCTTATTTATGACAAAATGTAAAAAAAAAAAAAAAGCAAAAAAAAAAAAAACAAAAAAATGCTCTAAAAATCTAACAGTTCTTGTAGATTTCTGTTTAACATTTCATGTAGCCATATAAATATACAGTGTAGTTTAACTTTTTTTCGTCCGAGTTTAGTCCACGGACATTTACTGACAATATTTCTAGGTTATTCATTTATAATCTGTAGGGAAAAAAAAAAATATTTTGTAAAAAAAAAAAAAAAAAAAAAAAAATGCTCTAAAAATCTAACAGTTCTTGTAGGTTTCTGTTTAACATTTCAGGACGTTTAACGAGGCCCAATCTAGTTGGAAATTAAAAAATTGAAAAAATTAATTCTTGGAAATAAGTTAGAACATCTATTATTATGATTAGAAAAATTAGAATAAAACTTTATCATAAAAGCCCAAGTCATACAAGTATATATTAAGTAAAATAACGCTAAGTAGAAATACTAATTGTTTTTAGAACCATTTTATTGACCTTTATAATTATTTACACATTTTATATATAAGACATCCTTACTTCAAAATATAAAATATTTACACATTTAGAAACACAAGGAATCTTTACTACAGAAAATCATCTCGCACAACTACTTATATATGAAGTGTTCTTTATAATTCAGGTATCTATGTCTCTCACAATTTTTTTTCAAATAAAACCACTGACTACGGTATAACTGAATTCCTTCCAGGGTTGCATTTTGTCCTTTAAATCGTCTTATATCTATGAATATATCTTTTTCTCTTACACAAATTCTACCAAAAAATGTCCTGGCTAAGTGGGAATTTATTTACATATGGGCACATCGACTGCACTGTCGTTAAATTTCCGCCTTTCCATTGCATGCAATCCCTGCTTCTTAAAACCTGGGGTTCGGTCTTTATTTCCTCAAGAATAATTGTGTTCGCAGACAATAGTGATATGATAGTGATTGCCACACTGTAAATACACAGGAGTCTTATTTTCTCCTTTCGTATACCTCTCCTTGAATGTATTCCTCCTCACTGGTCAATTCCGCTAAATTACTTATTGTTGTTAATCCGGAGTCCATGTCTTTCTTCTGTCAAGACATAAAAAGAAAAAATGGTGTGATTTTCATCTATGATGTCCTTTTTATACTCTTTGTCATTGCATAAATTCAATATTTATTATATTATTATTATTAGAATAACGTAGTCTTGTATGGCGCCGTTCATACCATTTACATTTGATTCATAATTAATACGCTATCCAATCTGAAAAATCTTTACGTATTTGCCTCAGTACAAATTTTAATAATGTTTTCTAAATATCTCTCTTTCTCATAAGTTTCACGCAGTAAATTATAAAAGTGTACTGATAATATTTCTAAAAGGTCACACTCTTGAATATATCTTCTTCTGTCTTACGGATGAGTATAGTCACATGCAATGCATCTCCGTTTTTGGAATACTTTTGCATTTTTTATGACATCTTCTGTACAACATTTTATTAACAAAATTGTTAATATCCTTTTATAAAATCTGATATTGGAAAGTTCTTCCATGAAAACATATCTGTAGGAGTTTTAAATTCTATAACTTCCATAATTGTTTTAAAGACCTTTGGCCATAATACATTGTACATCTTATATAGTCCGTTCAGTACTTACTTACTTTCCCCTCTCTCTTTTCCTTTGATTAATTATCATCATCGGTACAATATCCTTCGTCCTCTTTCTAAAATATAGAGAGATGGCTTCTCCATTTACCCATATTATCCGCCCACAAGGACGGACATAGCCCTCTCTTCTAATTTCTTCATCCCAATCCTCTGTTTCAGGTACATTATTACACTCAAAAACTTGTTTGCTGGCCATCTTCTGTATTTTAACTATTGTTTGTCATTCATGTTCCTATCTCCTTATAAATAATTATCGTGTGGGGCTATACCTGCTAAACCAATCATTGACCGAACTATAACTTTTACTCACACCCCACCCACCCCCCTCCCTCTTGGCCTGCCCGAGAGGGGGGCTATATTCCTCTTTCCTTCATTCCTGGATGACTATACGAGTGAAAAGAACACATTAAAATGGTTATTCCCCTTTTACTTTCATTAATACCATCGTCTTCAAGCTTCCTGAAATAATTTATTTTCTCCATAAATGAGTCTTTTCTGTTCTTTTTTTTGTAAATATCAAAACAAAATGTTTATTGTAAATGAGCATTTATTGTAATGCCAAACAAATTGACCAAATATGTACAAAAGTTACATATGTCCATAGTTGATTGAATATATCCTTTATTAAGATATTAATATCCATAAGGAAAAAATACAAATAAGACGACTTTGCAAAAAAGATGGGAGAACAAACACACCACGACAAATATTTATTATTGATGACGACAAATAGGACACCGCTGATTTGGTATGGTGGCAAGTTCTCTATAACACTGTCTACAGCACGAAACTTGATGACATTGTTGACATTTTAAATTACTTTTCACATTGATTTCTAAACAAATGGGACATTGTTTTACAGTTTTGAGTCTAGTTAAATCTGCCCATCTTGGAATTCTTACATTATGTTCATTAAAACATCCAAGTTCTTTATAATTTCCCGTTTGTCGAATTTTGTTCACATATTCAGCTCCAGGGACATGAAAACAACTTCTCAATTCGTATGGGTCAGGCCATCGAAAAATAAATGATCCACGCGCCGTTCGTTTTTGTTTCGGATATTTGAAACGAATAAATCCTTCAACGTGAAATGTTTGCAAATCTTTTTTTGAACACGACCATACAATATAATTTAAGTACTTTCTGTCTTCATACACATGTCTCAAATCCATATCATTATACCGTAAATGATCTTCATCCATTGGAAAAAGGTCATAAGAAAAATACCAGTTTTTAGACCTCTTCGAGATTTCAGCTCTTGACATTTTTCCAGAATTTAAGTTTTCATTTTATTGGTTTAATAGCGACTATTTATAAAAGAAATAAGACTCCTCCTTATTATGGGAGTTATATGTCCCATTTGGAAGTGTTCATTCATTTGATGAAGATAATGAGTTCTTCTACAGTCAAAGGCTTGTTGACAAGTGCGGCAGGTTAATACACGATTCAAATCCTGTAAAAAGAAAAGAGATGAAAAATAGCATACATTGTGAGTTTCTCGTAACCGTATCAATGATATGAATTAAAATTTCCTCCTACCTCATTTTCATGGTCTGGACGACTTGTTGATAGTAAATCATCTGTTTGCTGTAAAAATAATTAAAATATGGATTAAAATTTTATGATGGATTTCTTAAAATTAATTGTGAAATTTATCACGTTTCAAATATAAGACAATTACATGTAAACAACTCCCTAGTCATAAGGAACAAGCTATTATCAGACAATCATCGTTTTTAGTGGTTAATGAGTATGTATTATGTACAATTGTATATGTTACGCTAGTATAAATCCCTACTGATACAGTAATTTTATTGACAAGTAAGTGACATGCTAAGTATTGATCCGTTATTATCGTAGTCGTTTATCTCTATAGATCCTGATTGTTTATGAAATATTATAGAAAAAACAAACAAATAAAGTCATTAAGTACTTGAAAGATTTGAACTTGATACTTATGAAGATTGAATGTATTACAAGATCCTTGTCACATTATGTAGCAGGAAGAAAATTCTTCTTGAAAATACATTTAACTGTTTATAATTATGTTAATATCGTTTAACAAATGATTCTCATATAAATGAACAACCTTGTCGACAAAGAGTACTCAACCTCTGGACGAGTTCCATCTAGGCTTCAAACGTAAGTGATTATCATTATTATTTATTTAATTAGTATTGTTTTATTTTTGATAATTCTGTATATGAAATACATCTTTATTGACCCCCCCCCACACACACACACACAAAATTCCTAAATTATGGACTATATAACTTATTCATTTATTTCTTTAAAGTTTTAATTTTTTTTAATAATATTATCAAAAAAAATTTTTTTTGAAAATAAAAAAAAAATAAAAACTTTAAAGAAAAAAATGAATAAGTTATAAAGTCCATAATTTAGGAATTTGTGTGTGTGTGTGGGGGGGGGGATCAATAAAGATGTATTTCATATACAGAATTATCAAAAATAAAACAATACTAAATAAATAAATAATAACGATAATCACTTACGTTCGAAGCCTAGATGGAACTCGTCCAGAGGTTGAGTACTCTATGTCGACAAGGTTGTTCATTTATATGAGAATCATTTGTTAAACGATATTAACATAATTATAAACAGTTAAATGTATTTTCAAAGAATTTTCTTCCTGCTTCATAATGTGGCAAGGATCTTGTAATACATTCAATCTTCATAAGTATCAAGTTTAAATCTTTCAAGTACTTAATGACTTTATTGGTTTGTTTTTTTTCTATAATATTTCATAAACAATCAGGATCTATAGAGATGAACGACTACGATAATAACGGATCAATACTTAGCATGTCACTTACTTGTCAATAAAATTACTGTATCAGTAGGGATTTATACTAGCGTAACATATACAATTGTACATAATACATACTCATTAACCACTAAAAACGATGATTGTCTGATAATAGCTTGTTCCTTATGACTAGGGAGTTGTTTACATGTAATTGTCTTATATTTGAAACGTGATAAATTTCACAATTAATTTTAAGAAATCCATCATAAAATTTTAATCCATATTTTAATTATTTTTACAGCAAACAGATGATTTACCATCAACAAGTCGTCCAGACCATGAAAATGAGGTAGGAGGAAATTTTAATTCATATCATTGATACGGTTACGAGAAACACACAATGTATGCTATTTTTCATCTCTTTTCTATTTACAGGATTTGAATCGTGTATTAACCTGCCGCACTTGTCAACAAACCTTTGACTGTAGAAGAACTCATTATCTTCATCAAATGAATGAACACTTCCAAATGGGGCATATAACTCCCATAAAAAGGAGGAGTCTTATTTCTTTTATAAAAAGTCGCTATTAAACCAATAAAATGAAAGCTTAAATTCTGGAAAAATGTCAAAAGCTGAAATCTCGAAGTGGTCTAAAAACTGGTATTTTTCTTATGACCTTTTTCCAATGGATGAAGATCATTTACGGTATAATGATATGGATTTGAGACATGCGTATGAAGGCAGAAAGTACTTAAATTATATCGTATGGTCGTGTTCAAAAAAAGATTTGCAAACATGCCACGTTGAAGGATATATTCGTTTCAAATATCCGAAACAAAAACGAACGGCGCGTGGATCATTTATTTTTCGATGGCCTGACCCATACGAATTGAGAAGTTGTTTTCATTTCCCTGGAACTGAATATGTGAACAAAATTCGACAAACGGGAAATTATAAAGAACTCGGATGTTTTAATGAACATAATGTAAGAATTCCAAGATGGGCAGATTTAACTAGACTCAAAACTGTAAAACAATGTCCCATTTGTTTAGAAATCAATGTGAAAAGTAATTTAAAATGTCAACAATGTCATCAAGTTTCGTGCTGTAGACAGTGTTATAGAGAACTTGCCACCATACCAAATCAGCGGTGTCCTATTTGTCGTCATCAATAATAAATATTTGTCGTGGCGTGTTTGTTCTCCCATCTTTTTTGCAAAGTCTTGTCTTATTTGTATTTTTTCCTTATGGATATTAATATCTTAATAAAGGATATATTCAATCAACTATGGACATATGTAACTTTTGTACATATTTGGTTAATTTGTTAGGCATTACAATAAATGCTCATTTACAATAAACATTTTGTTTTGATATTTACAAAAAAAAAGAGCAGAATAGACTCATTTATGGAGAAAATAAATTATTTCAGGAAGCTTGAAGACGATGGAATAAATGAAAGTAAAAGGGGGATAACCATTTTAATGTGTTCTTTTCACTCGTATAGTCATCCAGGAATGAAGGAAAGAGGAATATAGCCCTCTCGGTATGCAGGCCAAGGGGGGGGTGGGGGTGAGTAAAAGTTATAGTTCGGTTAATGATTGGTTAAGCAGGTATAGCCCTACACGATCATTATTTATAAGGAGATAGGAACATGAATGACAAACAATAGTGATAACACAGAAGATGGCCAGCAAACAAGTTTTTGACTGTAATGATGTACCTGAAACAGAGGATTGGGATGAAGAAATTAGAAGAGAGGGCTATGTCCGTCCTTGTGGGCGGATAAGATGGGTAAATGGAGAAGCCATCTCTCTATATTTGAGGAAGAGGACGAGGGATATTGTACAGATGATGATAATTAATCAAAGGAAAAGAGAGAGGGGAAAGTAAGTACTGAACGGACTATATAAGATGTATTATGGCCAAAGGTCTTTAAAGCAATTATGGAAGTTATAGAATTTAAAACTCCTACAGATACATGTATGTTTTCATGGAAGAACTTTCCAAGATCAGTTTTTTTTATAAAAGGATATTAACAATTTTGTTTATAAAATGTTGTACAGAAGATGTCATAAAAAATGCAATAGTATTCCAAAAACGGAGATGCATTGCATGTGACTATACTCATCCGTAAGACAGAAGAAGATATATTCAAGAGTGTGACCTTTTAGAAATATTATCAGTACACTTTTATAATTTACTGCGTGAAACTTATGAGAAAGAGAGATATTTAGAAAACTTTATTTAAATTTGTAGTGAGGCTAATACGTAAAGATTTTTCAGATTGGATAGCGTAATAATTATGAATCAAATGTAAATGATATGAACGGCGCCATACAAGACTACGTTATTCTAATAATAATAATATAATAAATATTGAATTTATGCAATGACAAAGAGTATAAAAAGGACATCATAGATGAAAATCATACCATTTTTTCTTTGTATGTCTTGACAGAAGAAAGACATGGACTCCGGATTAACAACAATAAGTAATTTAGCGGAATTGACCAGTGAGGAGGAAGACAGACATTCAAGGAGAGGTATACGAAAGGAGAAAATAAGACTCCTGTGTAGTTACAGTGTGGCAATCACTATCATATCACTATTGTCTGCGAACACAATTATTCTTGAGGAAAAAAAGACCGAACCACTGGTTTTAAGAAGCAGGGATTGCATGCAATGGAAAGGCGAAAATTTAACCGACAGCGCAGTCGATGTGCCCATATGTAAATAAATTCCCACTTAGCCAGGACATTTTTTGGTAGAATTTGTGTAAGAGAAAAAGATATATCCATAGATATAAGACGATTTAAAGGACAAAATGCAACCCTGGAAGGAATTCAGTTAAACCGTAGTCATCGGTTATATTTGAAAAAAAAATTGTGAGAGACATAGATACCTCAATTATAAAGAACACTTCATATATATAAGTAGTTGTGCGAGATGATTTTCTGTAGTAAAGCTTCCTTGTGTTAATAAATGTGTAAATATTTTATATTTTGAAGTAAGGATGTCTTATATATAAAATGTGTAAATAATTATAAAGGTCAATAAAATGGTTCTACAAACAATTAGTATTTCTACTTGGCGTTATTTTACTTAATATATACTTGTATAACTTGGGCTTTTATGATAAAGTTTTATTCTAATTTTTCTAATCATAATATGTTCTAACTTATTTCCAAGAATTAATTTTTTCATTTTTTTAATTTCCAACTAAATTGGGCCTCGCTAAATGTCCTGAAATGTTAAAAGAAATCTGCAAGAACTGTTAGATTTTTAGAGCATTTGTTATTTTTTTTTTTTACAAAATATTATTTTCCTACAGATTATAAATGTATAATCTAGAAATATTGTCAGTAAATGTCCGTGGACTAAACTCGGACAAAAAAAAGAGTTAAACTACACTGTATATTTATATGTTACAGAAATCTACGAAAACTGTTAGATTTTTTTTTTTTTTTTTTTTTTTTTTTGCTTTTTTTTTTTTTTACATTTTGTCATAAATAAGATCAAATATGACTCTGATGTTTGGAAAATCATTTCATTGTTATTTTGATTCATCATTTATCCGAGGTGTCAGTATTTTATTTAAGAAAGAGTTGAATACAGAAATAGTTGAGAAATATGTATCTCATGACGCTAGATTATTTTTAAAAGTAAAAATAAATGAAATATTCTATTCATTTATATATATTTATGCACCAAACTCCGCAAAGAAAAGAGGTTTATTTTTTCAAACATTGCATTGTTTTATACATAAAAAATGTACACCAGATGATGATAATATTATTTTATGTGGCGATTTCAATTGTAAAATTGATAATGATAACGATCAAAGTATTCAAAAGCTGAAAAAAAAAATTATAAACACGTTTGATTTAATAGATAGATGGATAACTAAATACCCAACCTTAAATGGATATACATGGTGGAATTCAGAAAATAATCCTAGCAGTAGAACAGATTATATATATTTAAGCAACAATTTTTTGCCTTGGACTTAAACAACATAATTATACGTAAAATTCCTTGAAAAAATCTCAGAAAAAGAATGTTTGACCATAGGGTATTAAATATGTCATTTAAATTAGATGAGAAAAAAAGGAGAGAGTGGGTACTGGAAATTAAACAATTCCCAATTAACTGATATAGAATACAAAAAAGGAATTAAAAATATAATAAGTGAGTTACAGGAGCAACAGGAAACCCGATAGATAAGTGGGAATCTTTCAAAATTAAAGCAAGAGATTTTTCCATTAGATTCGCAAAGAAATCAAATCAAAATAGTAAGCAAAAGAATTAAATTAATAGAAAAGGATTTAAATAAAATAGAAGAATCAAATTTTCAAAATATTGATATGAACAAAAAACGCAAAATAGAAAGAGAATTAAATAAACTTTATGACAAAAAGTGTAAAGGTGCCTTTTATAAGATCACGATCAAAATAGATATTAGAAGGTGAAAAATGTTCAAATTTTTTTTTGTTAATTTAGAAAAAAAGTAGACAAAACAAAATGTCATAAAAGAATTAAAGGTAAATAACTATAATATAGGGACAACGGATCACATTTTAGACGCTTTGTGTAAAAATTTTATGGAAATCTGACGATGGTATAGACAATTATCTATCTTCAATTGAACTAGAAAATATACTAAACTAAAGCGATGCTAATTTCTGTGAACAATTTCCTTCTCTAGTAGAATGTACGAAGCAGTGTTCAATTAAAAACTTAACAAAGCGTCCCGTGTAAGATGGTCTCGCAAATGAATTTTATCAATGTTTTTGGAAAGATGTAGCCTACAACCAGGAGTGGGGGTGGGGCATCATCCACGTTTTGTTGAGGGAGTTGTCTCTCTCCGGTCATCGTCACCCTCACCACTTTGAAGATTACATACAACACTGCAACAATTAGTCAATTTTAATTTCTCTCATTACCGAAGAGTCAAACTCAGTTATAGAACCAACAGAGTCAAGTTCAATGTTAATTGTGCGGCGATGTTTCCTACATTAATTCTTTACACAAACAATGCACAGGACTAGGGTGATCAAACCCAGTAAACTCGAGGCAATACCGGTGGCATAAATCCAGGGTTATCTACATGTGAAAATTAAACAGTAAATTTCTTGTATTTTCTTTAATTATTTTTTTTTTATTTTTTTTTATTTTCTATTTTTTTAATGATAATGTAAATTGAAAGTGTATACTTACTGAAGGACAAGGCAGCGATTTCGGATAAAAGTGGTGGTAAGTGCAGGGGAGGTTGTCGTCGGTTCTGATACGGATCCTTGGGTTTGGGTCTCCTTTAAGAGAATTAAGATAATAATGAATATACTAGTTTTTCTTTCTTTCTTTCTTTCTTTCGTTCTTTCTTCCTTTTTTTTAAATTTTGGTGGTTAGAAAAATTATTTCATTTAAATTCATTTAATTAGAGAAAACAATTTACCTGACATATCTGCTTATTCAGGATTATGATCGTCTCGCTGTCAATAATAGCCTCGCACGACACCACTACCTTCCTCACAACAAATTTCTTAGCCGCGGAAACTGTCTCAAGTCGACACCCTGATTAAAATAGTCAATCTCCAACATCTCCACATCTCGATACCTTATCATATTTTGTCCCCACACCCCGCATCGTACTCCTTCACTTGTGCGCTCGCACGTCAAGGCAAACAACGGAATTACAATCAAAATACACAACTTCTCCATCCTCATCTTCACAGATCGTTGGGTCTCAAAAAGGTGGTCATGATCAGATTTGGACTTTGAGGTCCTATATAATTATACGGATGGAGGGTAAATCAGGAATATATTTTAGTTTTATTAACATCATTTTGGAATTAATACATTGAGACCATGTTTATTTTGGTATATTCTATGTAAGAATTAATGTAACATAGGTTTAATTGAAAACAGTTTATGGTTAATTATATTGTGTTTGTAGTATATCGATCCTTACACCCCTCCCGTTTTACTATAAACCAGCCCGGCGATTTTGGTCTCTCGGGTCGGTCACACCAATGGGTGTCCGTGGGGGTGATAGCAATATAAAGTATTACACAACATTCATCTCTGGGTTTTTCTTTTATTTGAATGATCTGAAATAATAAAACAACTTAAATGATTTGTATAAAATTATTTTAGATTACATATTTCGAGTGTTGACACCAGTGTTCTGCTAAGACTTCAAAACAAAACCAGCACCACCCTGCTTCCCCTCTGCTGATGTGTTTTATTGGTTTGTGATCGACTCGTTTTGGTGTT